TGTGTGTGTGTGTGGACACGAGACATGTATGAGAGAAAGCGGAGCTTGAAGATTAGGTCCTTGGTTACGCTCCGTGTCACCTTTTGCTCGGCCCAGAACTGAGTCGTGATACGAGCGAACACTTCATCTGTGCTTGGCCTCGGCTTTGATGAAGGGCCCCCCTCCCTCTGCAGGGGAGGTTCAAGGGGTTCGTATCCCTGCCTCGGCTCCTGACTTGTGCCCGCTGCACCTTTTATTAAAGTCAGATTCACCGTCAGTGCCACTGTCACAGCAGCACAAAGAGTGAATCCATTACGTTTGTGTACCCGAGCTGCTCTTCGACAACAGTTGGAAGGCGTGCCTGCGTTTGTGTAGTAGCTGCAAAGTGCTGATGCATGCAGTTATATATAAACATATGGCAAAGTGCATATTCTGTCTCTCATGAATGCACACACACACACACACTCTTAAGCTCACTTCCTGACAAGCTGACTTTTCTTCCCTTTTGCATCTTTTATTTAATTCTTATTTTTATTTCACAGTTTCCTCTCCATCATTTTCTTCACTTGCTCATTATCTCTCCTTATTACCTTCCCTCCACTGTCTCCCCAACTCCTGACCTGTTCAGTGTACTCGTTACCCCTTCACAGTGTTGGCGTCTAGACGGAGAGGCACCTGCTCTGTCAGATTCACAGGTTCAAAGGCATCCTATGAATTTCTTTACAGAGAGGGCTGGCATGAGGTTTCAAGGAGCATGCAATCATAGAAACACACACACTGCATACACAAACACACTTATTCTTTTCTCCTCGCCTACTCACTGCTCTTCTTCTCCCTCTTTTAACCTTCTTTTTTTTTGGCCACTCCTCTCTTTTTTCCCCACTCCTCACGCTCCCCTTTTTCGTTTGCCCTCTTTTTTCCCCTCCCCTCTCTCCGACTCTCCTCTCCTGTCTCGGAGTTAAGTTTAGCAGATGCACCTGATGGCAGCACCATCCTGGAGCACCTGTCAGCTGTCTGCCTTCATCACCGCTCCTCTGCTGCCACAGAGGCCACAGGGAAGTAAACCTGGAGACAGTTGCTACTATCAACAGCTGCATCTTATTATTTTAAACACCGGTGCCAGTCAGTTTCCACCAGAGATGTGCACATTTATTTAGTGTGTGCGCTCCGCCTCCCTCTCGTTCTCGTTGCTCCTCCGGATTCAGAAGCTCAGCTGCTAAATGCGAGCAATTATAATCGAACGCACAGAGAGGGGGGGATGGAGACTGAGAGGCAGTTTATCTAACCTGTGACAGAGAGGAGGAGGGAGAGGAGGCGGGCAGCAGGCATAAGTTGTTAAAGTATTTTTGGCAGCTGTGGATTATGCTTTTGACTGTCGGTAACTGTAACTTAGACAAGTGACAGGCAGTGTGCTAACAGGCAGCGGGGTCAGCCAGTCTGAGCTGTGTTAATGGCACACTTCAGAGTACTAGATGCCGTTTACAGAGACACCTAATGACACCGTGATTCTTCATCCTTTCTCGGGTCCAATTAACACCACAGCTCCCTTTTCCATAAATACGTGGGCTGCAGCAAGTGTGTGGCGGATTCACAACAGACCGAATGAACAAAATGACAGAACAAGATGACTAGGGATGGGTATCGTTTAGGTTTTATCCGATACCGGTGCCAAACCGGTACTTTTGAAACGGTGCCGGTGCTTAAACGGTGCTCAAAC